AATGCTCTGCCGTGTCTCTTTCGACTCCTCTTTCGAACGTTTTATTCTTTCGTTTGGCTGTCTTCTATAACGATTTTCTTATAGCTGTAATATTTATCGGAAACATTAATTACTGGCAATTATTAATTTGGTAATACGTCAGTCGTGTCGAGCCATCGAACGTTACAGTCGTTCGAGGTGCAAATGGTATATCCTGTCTAGGGGACTCTTTCAGACTGAAATTCATAGCAAGATGGCCTCTGTACAAATGCTACTTTACTCTCGTGGACTGATTACACGTATATGTTGTAGCATGGGGTTGTTTTTGGTTTAAGGGGTGTTTTTTTTTTATAAATGTATCTTTTTTGTTTATAGTACACCGGTACTTTGGCTGTTATTCTTTAGCTGTTTGGCTTTCACGTGTTATTAGCGGCACGTTGCTGCCGGCATTTCCCACGTTCTCGAACATATGGTATTAATGTCGCCAGGTGGGTCATTCTGCGTCTGGCTACACCTCGTGTACGCTGGATTTTGGTTTTCTTCGTAGCTAAACGAGGATGGAAATTCATTGCGTGTACTGATAACGAGGCGATAAGTGGATCTGTGGGTCTATACGAATTTTAAACTTTTCGAACGAGGTGTCTGATGTTTTGTATTATTATTCTTGTTATTTAATATTATTTTTGCATCGACACTTTGCTTCCGAGTGGGGACTAAGACCTTTTTCGATCCACGGAGTTTCATGATGCACCTGGATCGATCAGATTTTCATTTGCTCGAGTCAATGACCATCTATATCCATCTATATCATGCTATATCGATTCGCAAATACAACTTGGTCCTTGCGTGAGTCGGTTGGGAGGAGCGCGTCTGCCATCTTTGAATACCAATCGATTGTCTGCGATGAGCATAGGGATGCTGTTGTTTTGACTTGTTTCTTCTCATCCGGAGTACCAGTACTTTTTTTTTTCTTCTGGAACACTTTTTTCGGAATTATCCATAAATTCTATCAGTTACCCATTGGATACTGGCTGAATTTTCGGAATATTTTTTTAGGTTTTTTTTTTCATGTTTACTTTTTATGCAATTTCTTTGGTCTATTTTTCAGGTCATATTGAATCGGTACATTTCTGCTGGCTCGCACTTGGTCAACCTGACAGGTTCAAATGACTGCTTGAGAACCCTGTAGAATACTGGGTTCGTTAGCCCGCAAGCAAAGTGGCCAACTGGTAACTCCAGGCTTATAGGATTGGCAGCTGGATCGTGCTTGAGGAAAATAAAAGAGGGTTGTTCATTTGTCAACCCCATTGTGATAGTCTGTGTAAGTGTAAGTCGCGAGATATTTTTTTTACATTGATATTTGATGCTCATGCAAAAGCTTATGTAAGTGGTAATTTTGGAAATGTTAGAAATCAATATTGCGGTTTAACGGAATATTGAAATAATTGCTTTTTTTTGGCTCGAGTAATTAATATTCGTCGAACGAGAGGGGCTGTGGAAATTTTTGGCGACGTCGGGATATTTGAAAATTATTGTGGATGGTTGTTAATACTTTTTTTTTCTCGAAATTTTGTTTTACTCATTATCGATTTTTTTTTTCGGGGATTTTTTAGAATTTCACGTAATTCGTTAAAAATTCCAAGCGACCTAGATGTAACCGGGCTCGGACGCGTTTTCCTATCTTTCATGAGTGCGGACGTGTATATTTATAGTGTTTATACGTGAACGTATTTATAATTTCGCGTCGGGATATATAGTGTGTGCTTGGACTACCTCGTCTGAGAAACAGTTTGTCTCTAGGCTCGTAAGACGCTGCTGGATTTCCTTTAAAAAAAAAACTATTTCGTCCATTCCTAAGAAATTGTATTTGCACGGGATCGATTTGGCGTAGAAAATTTTTTTTTTATATCGAAATCGATAAATTAATTTCGACGAAATGTCAGGGTGACGCGTTTATCCGATTATTCTGTTTACCAATAAATTTTCTGTCTAGGATATTTACATCTATAATAAATAGCATCGATCGTCGCGCACGTCGAAAACTTTTTCTTCGTTAGTAATTTTGAAAAAAAAAATCTTATTAAAACGCTATAGATATATTAACAATAAATTTAGTCTTCCGCGTGCAAGTTTCGAGGACGTTCAATGATCGAGCATTGATATTTTAGTTTTCGCCATTTTTAAACCCATACGGGAAAGATACGTGTGGCTGGCTATTTGCGAAAATGAGCAAACGAATAAATGCTGAGAGGACGAGTTGATACGAACCAAAATAATTTTATAAAAGATTGACGCGTTTTGGCTGGCTCCGTAGCCAAACCTTAGTCGGTACGTTTCGTCAGCGAAGCATAATTCGGTTCTGTCGTCGTTTCATCGAGCGTCTCTAGCACTTAAGCAGAAGGAAGGTCAGGGATCCGTTTTAAAACATCTATTTTGGATGTTCCTGTTTATCGTAAACAATTGGTCGGATCGGCTATGGGTAAAATGTAAAAGTATATAAAATCGATGACAAAATATTTTTCACGTACACATAACGATCTAATGATTCGCCAGTGCAATTATTATTTTCTCTTACCAAGTAGAACAAGCAGAAGCCGGCTAAAAATGTCTCGGACCATGTGCTTAGCTCGGTGGCACGTACGTCGCGTGCGGAACGCGCGCGGCCAAGAGTTCGCGTCCTGTTCGTTATAAGAGGGCTTGTCACGAAATTGTAGCGGAATGTGCAACAAAATGGTCTAAGCTTGATTGGTGAATAGTAAATATTCAAGGTTTCGAATGGAGGTACCAAGCGACTGATAAAAATGTATTTCCTGAAGCGCAAATAATTGTGAAAACAAAAGGAGGAACGCGTGTGCGTTAATAAAAAAGTAAAAAAAAATAAGATATATGGACAGTACCCCCGTGCAGATGTTTTAATGGTAGAGCGGGGTGAGCCTAAAAATTCTCCAGGCTCTAGGGGTAGATACGAAATCGCGACGTCGCGTCAGGGGCGTAATAAGAGGGTTCGTCGGTGGGGGTTCCGTTGGTGGGAAGGAGAAGTGAATTATTGGCGTGTAGTACGGTGAGAGGGGGCTGTGGCCTCGCGGGAGGGAGGCTTGGGTCGGATCCCGAGTCCCTTACGAAGACAGCCGAACTCGCCCGAGCTCTGGCACAGCCCGACCGGCGCGCTTTAAAACGTCCAGCGCGTTCAGTCTCTAGGCATCCCCCGCCCGTAACGTTGTTCCTTTGTTTCTTTAGTATAGTTATCGGTTTATTTCACGTTGCATTGTGCATCGGCCGAGCGACCACTACGAGAGTAACGGCATGGATGATATCGCGGTGATCAGTGACTGACGGACAGAGGAAGTGAGACCGAGCTAGAGTAACTGAGAGAGAGAGAGAGAGTGAGAAAGGGAGTGGAAGGGAGAGAGTAAGAGAGCTAGAAAAGAGAAAGAGAAGGTATTAACGTGAGGAACACGAAAGAGTCTCGCCTATCGCCGCGTATATAAATGCTGATCTCGCGCGACCATCGTACTTTTCTTTTATTGATTTTTCATTTTGTTCCGGGCGGCGGTGCGAGAGCGTGATAACGACGGGGAAACGTGTATTCGGCGCCGCTAAAATCGTCAGTGTTCGGATTATAACGCGAGCCACAATAATTAGAACGTAGTGCTGCTCGCTAAAGGAGAAAAGAGGTAAGAGAGGAGCTACGTGCTACCGTTGCTACTGGAGTGAGTGGGAGAGAGATATGTTTATTACGTACACTGGAGTTGATGTTCCCTGAGTATACCGGGCGTGTATAAGAGAGAAAGAAAAAGAGAGAATGATGTTGTGTGCGTGTGAGAGAGAGAGAAGCTGGTTTCGTGCATCGAGCACGTGCGTGCGTGCGTGATGCGGCCCTGGCTGTGCTACCGTGTTCAGAAAGCCGCATGGGTGTAAAGGGGGTGCTCCCATAGGAAATGCCGGCTGGCGTATGGACGGCTAGTGTCGAGGGGAAGTGAAACCAGGATCAGGACGACGGGAACGACGATGACGACGAAGAGGAAGATACGACCGCGATATGTGGCGGTGGTAGTGGTTGAGTTGTAGGAAGAAGGAAAGTAAGAGATGGAGGAAGTTGATGCCAGGAGTGGTGTGTGGCAGCTCGAGGTAGGCCGAGAAGGGGTAGTCGGGCTACGAGGGTGGAAACTCCCGGCGACGGCAGAGAACGTTGGAGGGGGGCGGGGGGGGCGCGCGCTTATTGATCGGTCCCGGCAACGCGATTTTCACGATCCGTCGCCATGGCCACCTGGCCATAGCCGAAGATCCTATCTACTCGGCACGGAAAGCCTTAGACCTTGCTGATCGCCGTGGCTCCTTTAACTAGTATTTCATTGTTGTATGTATGTAAATCCATAACTGTCTCAACTTTATTTGATCGAAAGTTTCGACGCTCCTGATGACTCCTACGTAATCTCGTCTCGATTCCGTATGGTGCTTCTGGGTAATATAGGGACTCCGAACTAATGCAAGCGTAGTAGGCTCCGAGTACATTGAGTCTCGAGTGACGTCACGTCTCAGTTTTGTCTAGGGCTCAGCGACCGTCTATATATTGTTATGTTTGCCACCCTCCGCCTATCTTGATGCTTTTTGTGTAATACATTATATTGGTATATATATATAATACAGCTATATCTGTATATACCTGGCTCCGCATAGTCATTGTCATTAAGTAATAATACGGACGCGTTTCAAAGTCAGGAGTGAAGGATACCTCGATGCCCGCCGGTAACAATGGACGCCGTCGGAGCTTATTGTCGAGTTCCAAATATCGTGTTGTCGAGTGCGCGCTCGATCGATACGCTAAAAATACGAGGCCTGCAATAACCCCTCGTTACTAGTCTCGCCCGAGCAAGCCTTCCCGCTTCCCTGGAAACCATAGTAAAGGAGGCAAATACGACGTCTTTTCACTTTGTTACGAAAAATTGCTCGGTCACCTTTTCCAACGGCAGTGTCAACTCCGTCGGCCCGAGAATAGTCCGATGCCCGGAATTTCATTGCGGGAAAAGAAAAAATTAAGCCCAGAACTTTCCAGCTGGTGCCTTTTGAAATATTGACATTCTTTCACGATGCTGCTTTACTCCGAAATAGATCGTCGGACCTCCGATAGACTATGTCGATTCCTCTTGGCTTCGCTTCTTCATGACACGCGAGACGCCTGAATTTCAATGGAGTAACGATCGCTTCCGGTCTCTTCGTATATTTGTCAAGTTGCCAAAATTTTCACTCGTGTATCCCATTTGCTTATGCGAGATAAAAGTCTTATCGCGCCATTCGTTATCATTTTCTTTTTCATATTTTTATACACATAAATGTATATCCAGTCTCAAAATTTAATTGAATCGAACCATGATTTAATTGAACCATGTGCATTTTTTTTATAATATCGATCCACTATCCCCCCAAGAGGGTGACGTGTCGCTTATCCGTGTGATTGTGCATTGTAACCAACCCGGCCAAAAATCACTGACTATTATTCACGTCACGTGCCGATCGATACCTGGAAAGCCTCGAATTAGAATCCGAGCACTGAGAAATTTCTCATAACCAATTCCTACGACGTTGCCAATGTCCATATTCAAATAGAATTATCGATCCTCCGTATAGGACACAAACAATTTCATTGCGTCGCTCAATTTGAGTCACGATAAATATCAGTCCATTCGTATCTCCACGTAGAGACCCCATACCTACGCGAGCGACGTCACTTTAGCCATCAGGAACCTTATTCAATATTTTTCAATAATATATCTAAAAAAAATCTAGATATTCCAGCAGAATGTTAATCGAAGCGAACATTTTTCGAATCCCCATTGCCACTTATCAATCCTACTTTTTATTTGTAAAATAATTCGTACAGTCTCCACTAACTAAATGATACGTAGACTGCCTGTACCGCTACCACCACCGTCATCGGCAGGAGATTTTTCCTAGGGTAGGGCAATCGGGGACAGCTGATGCGGACGTATGTCGAGGGAGAGGAAAAAAAAGAATTAATATATACATATATATACGCCAGTAGCTCCTGGGACTGATATATGCAGCGTACGCACGCATACACGTGTATACGCATATATGCATCATACGTAAGAGAGCGTATTGTGGCAGCTGTGTGTACGTACTCTGGCCTCCACCCTATACACTTGGGCATTTACCCCCCCGTAACTCCCCTTTATTCGACTCCCCAATTCTGCCGCTTCGCACTCTTCGGACGCCTCGTGCTCCCCATAGTGGCCAAAAACTTTTGGGGTCCGAGGGGTGCCATGGGAGCCCTTTAAATGACGACGCCTAAGGGTCGTCGCCCCCTTTAAACTATCCGGTTCTCCGTACCCTGTTTCGGGCATTAAACTTAGGGTCGTTTTACCAGCCACCACGATTTCCTACAGTACGTTTCTCCTAGCGATGGCTATGGGTTATATTTCTTTTTTTACCCCAACGCCAGTACACTGTTGCAATTACCAGTGTAGTCCAGTCATTATGTAAATTGGCGAGTCATCCTTGCACCGAGTCTGGATACACTTAGTCCTCGTGGAATATCGTTTCTCAGTACTACGGTAACTTTTACGTTGCCTGGAATCCAAACCTGGAGGTCTCCCCTTACTCTTTTTTATTTAGCCTAGAAAAGTAGAGTGCTTCCTAGTACATATTTATTGTTGCTCACGCGTTGCTTCTTGCTTACTATGTTTATATGTGCTTACAGGTCTGTGTATGTGTATATATATATAGCGTGACAATTGCTAAGGAAGCTTGAGGTATACCGAGCGTCCTTTGGATAGATTATCTTTCTATTGACTAGCACGCGCCACTCGGCTATTTATTTACGCATATTATATATACCTCTGCTTGGTCTGTCTCGCAAGAGAGGCTTAGGCCCTGATTATCATTTGTCCTCTTAGTATACTTCGTTATTGTTTCGCCAGAGGGCGTTTGTCGGACATCATTTGCATAGGGTTTGTATTTTCCTTGACTCCAGTGGTAGACCAGACGCCGGTAAAGACTTTCAGCACGTGTTACGTTCGACTTTACACAGCTTTACTTTTGTCGGGGGGTGTATGTTATTTGACTTGACAAAGTTAGTGGGGTAAATAGAGAATGCATAGACATTAGAAAGTACTAGTGGAAGCCATCGGTTGTCAGGTGACGAAAACTCAGGATTTTTACCTTCGGAATATTCTTATACACCGAAAGTACGTGCAGGTATAGTGCAGCTACCTAATTTGTAGTCTAGATGGCACTGGGGTACCTCGCTAGCATAGCTTTTTTCTAACTGACTCCGGGACGTGAAATATTTTTGACATATTTCTACTTCGTGGTTATGCACGGGGACGAAGCTCGCGTTTATTAATAATTGTGTTTGTTTCTGCTTGCAGATTTGATACGTAGTTAGACCACGTGCAAAAGGAGTGCAATGATGGCGAACGGAATGGACACAGTTGTGCAACAAAATGGGGGCTCGACCCTCGGTCAGACATCACAAGAGGAGTCGAAGACGAATCTCATCGTGAATTACCTGCCGCAGACGATGACCCAGGAGGAAATTCGTTCGCTGTTCTCTAGCATCGGCGAGGTCGAGAGCTGTAAGCTCATTCGCGACAAAGTCACCGGTGAGTAATGGCGTCGCTTTATATTGACAGGTTACACACGTACGGTTTGAGGTTAGAGTTAGATGGGTAAGAGCGCTGTCGGAGATTCTCCGTAAAAATAACAAAGGACTTAATTTAACTGTAGGGGACACCTGTCAGTGACAGGCACAACGTAGTCGTTACAGTAGCTAATGGTGTATCCTGTATTAACGTGTAACACGGAGTGTACGCCGGGAATAGAGACGAAACAATGAATCCGATAATTCGATATCGTTCGCGAAAATTTTCAATTCGTCCTGACAATCTGAGGAGATTCAACGTGAACGTGTTACGGAATGCGGAATGCCGATCGTAGTTTGTATATATAGAAATCAGACGTAACGGACACCTGTCGATGACAGATATCTTTCTCTCTTGTGTAATAGGATCTTGACTAACATCGGTGATTAAAATTTGAAACGGTAACACGGCTGTCGGGACTCTCGTTATAGTTTGCTCCGACCAGTGCGGCTTCTGTCATGCTAATATTTTTATAAATATACGCAAATAGCTCGAGCTTACGCGATGTAATCCTTGGCGTAACCAGTGAAGTAATCGAGCAACTTTTCCTTTTCTCTCTCTGTCTCAGATCTTTTCCCGGATTTGCCAGAGCTCGCTCTTTCTCTGTATCATTCAGTTTCCACTGTCACACCGAATTTATCGTCGCCGTCTCGTCTGCTCGCGTTTGGATTTCCACACGAATATCTAGATTGTCCCACGATAAACGGACGCTAGACAACAGTATGACGCAATACGAGAGAGCCGCAGGCATCGTTGATATTTTGAAGTGCGAAGTCGCGCGGTACTATGCGTTTCCGTAAATGACGTAGTAAACACAGGGAACAACCCAACGTTTTTCACCGATAAAAATCCTCCCGGCGAATTTAATGATTTCGCGAACGTGCACCGAGTACCGGGAAGAAACTTCACTTCCGGTAGGAATAACGAGACGCGTCCCACATTTCGCTCGAAGCTCAACGTACATTTTCTCTCTGCTCCCATTAAAGTGCGCGGTTATTCTCTTCTCGTGGGTCGGCGGCCATCTTTCTTCGCGCATACGACCCCGTGCGAATCTTTCTTCACCATTTCTCGAAAAGCCTCGACCCCACCGGACGTCACCGGCTCCTACGTTCGACGCGCGTCTCCTCAATTGCCCACTTCATTTCCGGTATACTCGATCACGCCGCAACATCACTTTTATGCGTTTTTCAAAATAAATACCCGGACCATTGACGAATCGTAGAAATTTTTTTTTTTTTTTTTTCTCGAAAATGGCGTTATCCACTTTTCTACGCGTACTTCGTCGGCAGACACGTTTTGGATCGTGGAACAAGACGGGTACGCGGTTATGTCTCTCGGGTCCACCGTTGAAGCTCGTGGAGATATTTCTCCGTGGACGACGTCGCGACGCTATTTCGGTACGCTAAGACGCGGGGGCGTCGTTCTTATTTGAAGCCTTTGCCGGCGCACCGTGATTGTTTTATACTAGCATCACAATGCTCCCGTTATGTTTTTATACTTTTCATTTTTTTTTTCTTTTACGTTAATTTTATTCGTGTCTTCTGGGTCCTTTGGTCCTTGCGGTCCTTGGGCGTCAGAGGTTCCTTGTCTCGATACTGTCCTACCTACGGTGACTGTCAAGTTCACCCGGTATATCCCATTTTACGTACATCTAACCTTCGCCGGAAGAGGATCCTCGTCCTACGAGGTCTCTTCTGGAGTCGATAAATGTTTTTCGATAATTTTGGTATCCGTTGTCGATCGGAGCGCCAGGGCATGTCTCGGCTGATGTCCGTCGACGTTTGCCACTCGTCGCGATGAACTTTCTCGTCGACGCGTCGATCCGTCAATTTCACTCGTCGCTCTTGTCTCTCGTTAAACTGTTCCTTGTCGAAGAGAACTCGCGCGCGAGAGCGAGAAAGGAATAGACGCTCTCTTCGTCCGATGAGCGTCGAGAGAGAGAATCGTAGCTTTTTTTTCATATACGAGTCACCGTTTTCTATGTTATTTTTTAACATATATATATATATATATATTTACATATATATATATAAACCATGCCTATCCATAGATGCTACCAGTTTGTCAATCTTCTCCCCCGTCTCCCATCGATCGATCTCATACAGCAGATAAACGTTCGATTGGGTTTATTCGGAAAAAAAAAAAACGTCCGAGGTACCAGAGTGAATAAATAGTTTAGAGGATAAAGAAAAAAAAAAAGAACATGTTGTAGGTATCGATTGTCCATTAAACGTAGCCAATAGGACCCGTGGGAAAATAAACGTATGAAACAAGTAAAACTAAAGGTTGTCGGCTCACGGTGGAAGAGGCATGTAAAATTGATCCAACGAAATTGACGTATGTCCCGTTTTGAGTTATTTCGTGGTGATTTCTTATAGATGACGCTGGACGTAAGCGAGAGAGAGAAAGAGAGAGAGAGAGAGTACTGGGATCACGGAGCCCGTTTATCGTTTGCACGTTGACTGCAGACTTGATGGTAAATCCGATATCTGATTGCAGGGCAAAGCCTGGGCTATGGCTTCGTCAACTACCATCGGCCCGAGGACGCTGAAAAGGCCATCAACACGTTGAACGGTCTTCGGCTGCAAAATAAAACCATCAAGGTGAGTCCGAAATTTTGTTTGGGTATATCTTTATTTATTTCCTTCTCCCTCTTATATCCGCCCTATGCACCGGGACACGGCCTGACGTGAAACAATTAAGAATTATCGTATCGTATATACCTTCAGGTATCTTACGCCAGACCGAGCAGCGAGGCCATCAAGGGTGCCAATCTCTACGTGAGCGGGTTGCCGAAGAATATGACGCAACAGGATCTCGAGAATCTGTTCAGTCCGTACGGTCGGATCATCACGTCGCGCATACTTTGCGACAACATAACCGGTAAGTACGTCGTGCTTGGCGAGAGGGAAGAAAAATTGGCTCTATTAACATCCGACGGAGACGATTTCTCGAGACGAGTCACAATGAATTCTATGCTACATTTGAATTTTCCAGAAACGTCTCGACTCGGCAGTACAATTCTCGTTTGCGATAAGTTCGCCGACTCGAGATGCGTACGATTAAGACGCTCCGTGTGAACGTGTAATCTGATAATGATGATTAAAACAAGAATACGGGTAGGTGCGTAGGCCATGGGGTTATGCTCGTTGGGGGTGGGTCGGTGCGCCTTCGTTTCGAAGAACTTGGAGAGAGTATCGTTGATATATATATATATTTTTGTTTTTCATTTTTTTTTTCTTCTTTTTTTTTTTTGTCATTTTCTCGTATCCTTTTCTGGGCAATGGAACTTTGAATCTTCTTTTTTTGCCAAATCTTAGGCACGGCGTCGTTTGTCGCTACGGAGAGCGTCCTTTTTTCTTTTTTTTTTAATTATTATTTGTCGCTGGCTCTCCGTCACGTCCGGTTGGTAAATGACGCCTCGATACGTATTACGTGTATATATAATTTATATATATATATATTATATAACGATATCGTTGCCTCGTTCTCAGTCTCTTCATTGTCCTTGTGTATTTATTAGATTTTTTTTCTTCTTGATTTGATTATTTCGTACGATCGTCATTCTTTTTGAACTTCCTGTTTGTTTTTTGTTTTTTTTAAATATTTTTGTCTTCTTCGTTGCAACGAACATGCCTTTTATTTATATACATATTTTTGTTACGTCACCCGTTACAGCCTCATGGCCTCCATCTTTACCGTTACTTCACATCTCCCTCTGACACTTCTTACGTTTTCTCTCTTTGTTACGTTCTCGTTTTCGACGTCGGTCCTCAAACCTCTGCGCACGTATGTGCATATGTCGGAGATACGCCGGCATAAGGCCGTTTCAATCGTTCACTTCGATATACCATACGTCAATGGCTTCTTGCACGTCGGCCGTCCGGCGAAGCTCAGTCCAACGATTGTTCGTTGCCCGTGACGATCGTCTGTCACCTTTAATTTTCTTTCTTATTCTCCACGAACGTTTGGCTTTGCAGACTTTATTTCTTTCTCGTATCGAATAACTCGAAGACTTATCTCTTTCTCTCTGCGGCGAGTACGTTCGGCAATTGGCTATATCATCGCTATACGGTTTGTCAGCTTGAATTGTACCCTCGCTCGCTCGCTCGCTCGCTCGCTCCTTTACTCGTTCCCTCATTTTCTCATGCATTGGCTCGTTCGTTCGTTCGGTCATTCCGCTCTCTCGCTCGCTCCAATTTGTCCTTTGTGAGAGCCGGCGCTGGTTGGCTGGGAGACGAGCTTTCTTGTGAGTGAGAGAGAGAGAGAGAGAGAGTGATGGGAATGAATGAGTGAGAGAAAGAGGAAAGGAGAGGGGCGAGGGAGGACGAGAGTCGACGAGGGAGAAAAGAGAGAACGTCGTGAGAGTGACAAGGAGAGAGAGAGAGAAAGAGAGGGAGATAAATTTTTTAGCATAATTAATTCTCGATATCGCTCGCCTCTAAATTCGAAAAAATTTTGAAAAAATTTCTTACCGATATTCTTGTATCCCGACGATGCCGGCAGCTTCCAATGTTTACCGTTGAACGCTTTTGTTTGATTATTTTTGTTGGTACCTTTTTTTTTTTTCAGTTTTTTTTTTTCCTTTCAATTTTTTTTTTTACTTTACCCCCTCTCGTTCTTATCAGATTACTTACAGTACTTACATTTTCCACTCCATTCCCAAGAGAGTTTCGATGATTGAGCGCGCCAAGCGCGCTTCGATCGTATCGATCGAGATCGATACCGTTGAAACGATAAAATATAGTGAAATACTCTCGAAGAAAGTGTTATCGAAGTGAAACGGTACAGAGAAAAAGAAAAACGAAATTCGTTTCGGTAAATCGACAGACGGGTGTCGCACTTTTTTTTTTGCCTTAACGTCAACATTCGAAGCTGTTTCGTGCTCGCTTAACGTTATTTCGAAAAATTCGGTAAAACAAAAGGACGTGCCGAGATATGAAAAAATTTGACGAAAGCGGGAAAGGGCGACCGCCAGTGGTCACGGCCTCTGCAATTATTCGGGAAAAAGAAAACGAAAGAGGTTAGGGGCGGGCGAGGAACGAGCTGTTTTTTCTAATATAACGAGATATGATTTTGCGTTTCTGTTTAGTACGACAGTTTGTGACTGGCGGCGGAGACAATTTGCCCGGTACGTAAATCATAATTTTTTTCCTCTTCTCCTAGCGACGAAACAAAATAAAGCCGAAGACGGCAATGCATTGAGAGAGAGAAAAGAAAAGAAAAAGTAAAAAAAAAAGATAGAAAAAAAAGAGTCAAAACGTAACGGCGAGATACATCGACGGACGGTTGTGTAGCGAAGGTGGAGGAAGAACGGAAATAAATGAGAGAGACGAGAGTGATTCTCTCTGATGGGGGTGGTGGGGGGGGGGGGGGGATAAAAG